AGATTTGAGCCGTCAATCTTACTTTCTTGATCAGCAGCGTTGCTAGGTAGCATGGCTTCTCACCTATGACGTCACCTATCGCATAGGTGTAGGTATCGTGATTGTTTTATAGTTTCCGGGCATAGTTAAAACTGTAAAACAATAATGTCTGGACGCAATCTAACGTGTAATTTTTCACAGAAGGCAAATGTACGTAATTACGCATTATATGATAAGCATGTCATTGAGGTTTCTTGTGTCTTGTTATCAACGGGAAAGAGCTTTGTTCCCATGAAACGGCGGAGACTCGTCGTTGTCGCTCGGATTCTGGCGATCTCCAATCGATTTAGGTTTCGTGCTCCTTCGACAGCTCACGAACAAGAACAGTGAACAAAGGGTAAAAAATATCGAGCCACTCAGAACTAAGATCCAAATACCCTCCACTGAAATAGACAAAACAGAAAAGAAAGTGACACAAAGCAACGAATGAGCAAAATCACAGAAGATGCTTGGTTCATCATACGTAAAACAAAACTAGTGAGCGGCCATTCAAATGAAAGCCTTTGAGCAGTACTTTTCATGTGGTACTGTTTGGAAGTTTCAAAGCCTGTGGATGACACACCCTAGCGAGTGACCATTCAACTGACTGCATGAAAACAGAAGCATATCACCCTCTAGGTGATATGTTTCTGATGAAAACTATGGAACAATTGCTTTACAAGGCCCTGTTTATTGTGCCATGCAAAATGGTGCGAACTTTAAATCGGTTTGTGCTTCAAACCCAAATGTAAGACCCACAAGATTCACTTGAAGGGCGCAAGAATACCTTTTCTACGACAGTGCTGTTAATTTCACGTACCTGAACACTGCTTGTACATTGGAACAAACGAGTCACAATAAGCCTGGAATTCAGCGCTACCATGTCCTGTGAGAAAGGTCTGAACTTTGGTATCGTCTAAAGTGAACAGGCCTCCTATAGTGCAAGAGAATACGGATCAGTACGAGATAAGTTTCATGGAACAACTTTAGAAAGGCTAACACTTGAATGTCGAAATTTATTGCTTTCGGGATCCTTAGGCCCCGTCCACAACTACGCCGGAGGACTTGAAAACGAAACTTTCTTTCTCCGATTAGGTCTTTCGTCTACACTAATTCGTCACGAAAACGGAGCTTTTTCCAAAACGCTGTTCAAACTGCTGGAATTTGAAATGCAGGCTTCGCGTTTTAGTGTGGACAGAAAACATTTTGAATTAAAACGAAGCTTTTCGAAATCGATGAGGTTCAGATAATCATGATATTTCCCTCCCCGAGTTTTACTCAAACACAAATCCAAAATGACCGGTGATTGTTGCGTGTTCAAATTTCTTCAGCGTAGTGTGGACGGAAAACATTTGATGCGTTTTCGGAGTGAAACCTCCGTTTTCAAATTCCTACGCCGTAGGGTAGACACGGCCTTAGTTTTGCATTACTTCGTTAAATATGTAAAGTAAATTTTACCTGGCCAGCAGAAGCCTCTTTTAGTGCTAAGAACAGATCTGCAATAACAAGTATAACAAGGAATTAGAATGCCCGTGCTTTAGCGAGAATCACAGGTCCTCGTCCATTACCTAGCTTACAGTACAAGCTAATTAAGGATCTATATACGTCATATTACGTATCAAGCAAGGTCGCGTCATTCACCTGACGCCATTTATCCACACAACCACGTGACCACTAGGACACCATACGCCTCCATATTTGATGCAGGACTTGCAGCCCATGAAGCACGTCTCCTGAGGCATGTCGGGAGCACGGCAATATTTATGAAGACGCCCTGCAACAGGAAAATAAAAGTTATAGCTCTTTTTATACAATGACTTTATTATGTCAGTCTCCGTTATTACACACGCTGTGATTGGCCAATTTAGCGTGCCTTATTCTATATTGTACGATCTGCTAAAATTTGAATTTGCTGTCAAAATGTCCGGTGATCTATCGTCAGGTTTTCATTATGGCAAATAACAGCGTAAGATATCTCTGTTTTCTTAAAATTTTGACCACACGGTACGTGTTAACGACTTAGCAATAATTTCAAATGGGCTCGTTTGGCCGTTGACGTACGTCGGCGATTTTAAGCCGTTGCGTGTGAATGACTTGAGATATGGTTTGTCTAGCAGTAGAGATATGATAAATGTCTCTCTAACCTGGTCTTCTCGGTCCGTACTGTAAGTTACGGACCCTCGTTTTTCCCCTTTGATCCATGGCCTGCGTTCTTCGGGCCGGTGCCATAAATGTAAAGGGAAAAAACTCGATCCGTAAGTTACAGCACGCGACCTCGAACTCGGTTAGTAGAAGAGGTTTTGAGGTAAATGCGAGCGCTTTGATTGGTTTTTCTAGGTCGGGGTTTTGCCATACGGACCGTTTCCATGGAGACGGGCATAAGCCGTGTATTTTTTGTTTTCAAAAGGCGGTAAACTCAAATTCGAGTGCCATATAATAAACTTTTTACTAGCCAAGCTTGCTCGCGCCGTACTGCCACGACTTGGTGCCAATAATCCCCAGTGACTCGATAAGTAAGGGATTAGTAATAAGAAGAGGATGCCAATTTGTTAAAATGGTCTCGAATGGTACGATAAAAATATAGAATCAGCTCGGTTTGAAGCGTTCAACACTTTAGAAAACGCAAATGCAGGGAAGAAACTACTAAAATTAATGTCGGTACAATCTTGGAAAATAAAAGTTACCTTTAACTGTATTATTTACACGGATAGGATTGCCTGAAACATGAAAATGACATTTGCATTAAGAGGGGAAGAGAACCAAACGCGAGAACTAATTTAAGTTAAAGGGTGGTATGGATGGGTATGTGGAGGGTATGGGTATGGGTATGTGCAGAGAATCGAATGTACAGCATAAAATATATTGTTACTCTTCCGTTCCAGGATATCTTGTCGATTCTTTGGTTTTATTTTATTTCCTTTTTCAAAGCTTGTTTATATCATAACACATCATGGGATAGTATTTAACAAACTCTAACACGCAAGCTTCAAAGAAGCCTTTACGAGTCCCTCTCGGTGATTTCTTACCGCATGGTCCAACATCCGGGTGTGACATATTGCTCGGTGCAAATCCGATCCTCTGATTGGCTCGATCAAACACTACTACATTTCCCTCCATGACGACCTCGCCCAAAACTGCTCCAGAGCGTTTAACACCAATACTTAGACAGTAAAATTCACTGGTGAAAGGGAAACAAAGGCAATATTCAATATTCAAAATCTGTTCCAAAACTAATGATCGCAGAAGTCTGGTTGTCTTTTATCAGTGCGACTGTTTATTAAACCTCCAGGCTGATGAGCAATTTTAGTTCAACCAGACAACCCTAGCTGGTCTCAGGCCTGTAGCGCTGGCTTGGTCAAGACGACAAAGATAGAGAATGCCGTTAGAGGAACTTTATTATCTTAAGCAAAATATTTACATTATAAAGTTTGAAGTTGTTTCAGTCTCCTATGATCGCGCTCAATGATGATTGAAGAGACTGACTGACTGACCGATTAACTGACTAACTGACTGACTGACTGACTGAATGACAGACAGACTGACTAATTGACTGACTTACTGACTGACGGACTGACTGACTGACTGACTGACTAACTGACTAACAGACAGACTGGCTGTTTAACTGACCGGCCGACCGACTGACCGGCTGACCGGCTGACCGGCCTACCGGCTGACCGGCTGACCGGTTGACCGGCTGACTGGTTGACTGGCTGGCTGACTGATCAACTGACTGACTGGCGGCTGACTGACTGAACGACTGACTGATTGACTGACTGACTGACTGACTGACTGACCGCGTTCAATTTCATTGACTCTAAAAATTATTTCTCTGACAGAAGTACGAGTTGTGAAAATTTGTTATTTAAAGGTTATTTAAAACTGTGGAAGTGTTTTCTCTGGACTATTTAGTTTAACCTTTCAACAGAAAAGCTTTTGATTGGCTGACTACAATAGTTCTTTATTAATATTATTCCATGTTTACTCACTCTTGTTTTCTAACATAGTGTTTCCCAAGAACAGTCAATCCAAACGAACCTCCAACTAGATAAAAATAAAATAAACTGACCATAAGGCATATATCATTGTCATCATAACATTATCATCATCATGCGACAAGCAGTAAAATTACCTACATACTTCGTCTACATCAAATGTGTTGAGTGGAGGTTGGTAATGAAGATTAATTATTGCGAGGTTTATTACTTCCGCATTCAATCGTTAAAAAAGGGAAGTGACAATCACAGGAGATGCCATCCTCAATTAATCGTGTTTTTTAAAGTTTTTGTGTATTAAACCTTCATATAAACATTTACAGTGCAAACGTAATAACAACCTCGATTACATTAATTACCTCTTCCTTAATTGAATCATTATTTTCTATTTACAGCCGGAATTTTTGCAAAAAAGAAAAACAACAAGGATGGAAGAGATTAGGGAAAAACTGAGAGCCGTTATTAACAACAGTTCAAGTTCGAACAGTTCATTCTGTCGTTTCAGAATCAAAAAGAACGCTTCAAAACTCACTCATGTCTTTTAGGTAGATAGTAATGTATGGCCATTGATAGGGATCTGTATCGACACAGTAACTCTTCCAAAATCGTTCATCAACGGGCGGGCCACGCTAGTAAGATAAAAAAAAAAGGACGTTGAATTCACACAACGTGCTGTGAGGGAAGCGGTGGTCTCATGGTTAGTACACTCGACTCCGGATTGAGTGGCCCTGGCCGGGGACATTATGTTGTGTTCTTGCATGGGCGAGACACTTTACTCTCAAAGTACCTCTTTTCTCCCAGGTGTAATATGTAGATATAGCCAAGCCTAAAAGCGGAGCTCCTGATTGCAATAACCATAAAGGAAAAAGGAAAAAGAGGATTTGCTTCTCTGGGATCAGAAACTCAAAAAAATCAGTTGTGAGCATGTAACCCCAGATATGGTCACGTAATTTTGGTCAGCGGATACCTTGTTTTGACAGGTTTCAAATGACCGCATGTCTCTGTAAACCTATTAGCTGGAGTATGGCCGCCATGTTGCACGACTCTGTCGTCGTGCGTACGCGCCCACGAGTAATACCGCTAGTCATGATAACCATGAGAAAATCAGAGAGATATGAAACAGTTTAAAAACTCTTCAGAAAATTCTAACTTCGATTTACCTCTTTGAGTTGTGCTATGACTGCAGCGTAAATTTCGGGCTGCAATAATATGTCTGTTGTGCCTATGGAAAAAAAAAATTGTCATGAAAGAGGTCAAAGGGTTTTAACATTTAGCAGATGATATAAGAACTTCACTGAACCTCCTGTCTTTAAAATGGATTGAGCCAGCGGTATTTCAGCAGATGTTGCCAGGCAACACGACATATGCTTATGTTGCTATCTCGCGTGAAAACGTTTGGCGTGTTCGGGCGTGTTTGACTTTAATCGGAAATTCTCGGACTGTTTCTACGAAATTTTTCGAAAAACGATTGCTGCAACGACACTTACCACTGTCAACAATGGCGGCGGGAAAACTGGGCGGCAATAAACCCAGACTGTTGCCTGCAACATCCTGAAACGTAAAAAAGAAAAAAAAGGTCACGGGGGAAACTGTAGGACGATTGTCGAGAATATCATGCATAACGATCGAACCCGGGGGTTAATCCCATATGAAAAGGTCGCGGATGCTCGTCGGAAAATTCAAATTAAACCTCTAACGTTAAAGAGACCAATCTGGGCGTAGCTCAAGCTTTATTTGACCCCAAAAAGATACCCCTTAAAACTGAACAGACTCGATTACCAGCCGCTGTTCAGGAAAGGAGCCCGCGCTGGTAGGCCAGACTCGAAAATCGAGTCTAAAACGGAAATAAGAGCGCTTTTAATTATAAATTCAAAAATCAATTTATATTTTTACCTTCAAATTTCGTAATTGTCTAGATCTGTTTAGTGCGCCTAATGGTCTCAGAAATATGTAACGCCAGCGTTTAATTCCAAATTAAATGAAAATGCGAAAAATTATCCGCCGTCCTATGCGTTCTCCAAAATACGAGTTAAATAGTCACTGGAAGTTATCTCTGATTGTACCATGCCTAAGAATACACAGCTAAACACAAAAGCCGTTGTATACGGTGTTACACCCAAGAGCCGAAAGCTCGCATTTTAAAATTCTTAACCAAGGAACGTTTTTACTCAAGATGATTTGTAATCCTGGCTACTCCTCCATTTTTAACTACAATAGTGCTGAGCATCGTTTTTTTTTTTT